ATGGTCCTACAGCTGGATATGGGGTCACAGCTGTACACTGTGTCAATGTCATGGTCCTACAGTCAGACATGGGGTCACAGCCAGACGTGGGGTCACTATCATGGCCCTACAGCCAGATATGGGGTCACAGCCAGGCACCGTGTCACCAACAAGGACCTACAGTCAGACATGGGGTGATAGCTGGATATGGGGTCACCATAATGGTCCTACAGCTGGATATGGGGTCACTATAATGGTCCTACAGCTGGATATGGGGTCACTATAATGGTCCTACAGCTGGATATGGGGTCACTATAATGGTCCTACAGCTGGATATGGGGTCACAGCCGGACACTGTCAACGTCATGGTCCTACAGTCAGATATGGGGTCACAGATGGACATGGGGACACTGTGATGGCCCCATAGTTGGATATGGGGTCACTGCAGTGGTCCTACAGCCAGACACGGGGCCACCATAATGGTCCTACAGTGGGACATGGGGTCAGAGCCGGACGTGGGGTCGCTAACATGGCCCTACAGCCAGATATGGGGTCACAGCCAGGCACCGTGTCACCAACAAGGACCTACAGGCAGACATGGGGTGATAGCTGGATATGGGGTCACCATAATGGTCCTACAGCTGGATATGGGGTCACTATAATGGTCCTACAGCTGGATATGGGGTCAACATAATGGTCCTAGAGCTGGATATGGGGTCAACATAATGGTCCTAGAGCTGGATATGGGGTCACAGCCAGACATGGGGTCATTAACATGGCCCTACAGCCAGATATGGGGTCACAGCCAGGCACCGTGTCACCAACAAGGACCTACAGTCAGACATGGGGTGATTGCTGGATATGGGGTCACCATAATGGTCCTACAGCTGGATATGGGGTCACAGCCGGACACTGTGTCAACGTCATGGTCCTACAGTCAGATATGGGGTCACAGCCGGACGTGGGGTCACTGTGATGGCCCCGTAGCTGGATATGGGGTCACTGCAATGGTCCTACAGCCAGACACAGGGCCACCATAATGGTCCTACAGTCAGATATGGGGTCACAGCCAGATATGAGGTGACCACCATGGCCCTACAGTGGGATATGGGGTCACTCTGATGGTCCTACAGCTGGATATGGGGTCACTGCGATGGTCCTACAGCCAGATACGGCGTCACAGCTGGACACGGTGCCACCACGAAGACCCTACAGTCGGACACTGTGTCACCACCATGGCCCTACAGCCGGACATGACGCCACAGCCGGACACGGGGGCCACCGCAAGGACAGAGGTGGCGGTGAGCTCGACGACGAACACCGCGAGGACGTTGTCACCGCCCCCACTCACCACCTCCCAGGTGCGCTCCTTGTTGAGCGAGAGCACCACCAGCGAGGGGTTGACGAGGTACCCGTCCTCGTTAAAGGAGAAGTCCTTCTGCCCCCACGTGATGTTCATGAAGTACCTGCGGGGAGCCAACACCGTCACGGCGGGTGACGGCCACC